AAATTCTGTGTTTTTCTGTCAATATGGGGTGCTGTGTGTACATTAATGAGGAAAAAAATGAACTTAAATGATTTTAGCATATGGCTGCAATATAACAAAGAGTTTAAATTTTAAGGGGGTCTGAATACTTTCCGTACCCACTGTATACCTCAAAACTGTATTTAAGTACTTTAGTACAATTTTACTTTAGAAGCCTACATGTACTAGTTAATTTCTTTTGACAGGAAAAAAAACTGAGCAAACCTGCTGGATAAAATTTGAAATGGGTTGCGGTGTTGGCTGAATCATGCAGTACAACTGTGTAAAGCTTTTGCAACCTAGTTAGTTTATAAAGGAACAGTAATTAGTAACGTTAGTTATGTAACAGAGAAGGCAACATGTTGGTTAGATATGCGTCCGAGTTTAGCGAAAACGCATTTCAGTGCAAAAGCCTAAGACTTGTAAAGTGGCGCGTAATAAAACAGATCAGATGCATAAATGGCACAGATTATCCACTCTAAAACAAGTCTGTATTTCATTTTTCGAAAAAAGTTGTCTTTACCTTCAGACTAGCGTTCAGACACTGCAGCAGGAGTTGTTCAACTGTTACAAATGTCCAAGCTGTCACATGGGCCAGGGGCGGAGACAACATGGAAAAGACAGGATTCTTGTTTCCATACGTCTTAGTGGCTTTTTCATTCTTACCTAAAGCTCTTTGAATGGCCATAAATTTGGTATTTGATTTATTCTTTCAAGCATGTAAAACAGTTGATATGACAACACATAATTTTACACATAATCCAATATCAATTTGCTTATACCTAGTACATGCTTGAATGTACTAAGAATAACTTCCCTTTGCTATTTCAAGTACATATTCGGTTACAACAGTTCCCATATGGGGGCACTATCTACCAGCTATATAACGTCTATAGAGATTCTCATTCATCCAGGTCCGTGCTAAGCTTGGCAATTTGATTTTTGAGGTTCTTGAAGATATTTCATCTCTAGTCACCACCGGCGACGACGTTTCTAGTCCTAGGTATTTAATTAGTATAAAGAAACCTACACTGCCTTCTTGTTTTATTACTATATAATTCCAAATATAAAGTGCCACCGGTAAGTTGTAGTACCATAGTATGAGCACTTGATGACAGTATTTTCTGCACAAACAGGCTTTCTGCCTGCAGAAAAGGCTCCTCTCCTCTTCTCCCTCCTCCCGCAAATCAGTTATATGTGTGGTTAGCCCAGCAGCTAGTAGCAGCTCACCAGGCCACGGCGGCCGGCCGGTGCATCATCCTCAGCTTCCAGCCATGGCGTTGGTCACTCTGCAGCGGTCCCCGACTCCGAGTGCCACATCCACCGCAAGCACAGCAACCACCACCGCGGGGGAGGTTAGTTTGGTCCTCGATGAACTGAAACAATGCTCCAGTGTGGTGGGGCTTTGATAGAAAGGAGGAGGATGAGGGCGATGTTACTGGAGAAAGGCCCGCTGAATGAAGCTAAATTAGCACAGTTAGTTGTCGTGTTATGCTAGGTTGTTAGCTAACAGTGGCTAGCAAACGTCTTCGTTAACCAGGCACTGTAGCGTTATACCGTAACCTAGCTGACTACCAGATATGCTACTGTCACATTTATTTATTTTTTTATAGTTAAAGCATAAATATCCTCACAGCTGTTAAATTTGTTAGGCGTTAATTTTTTAGAGCTGGCTTGGTTAAACAAGTGTCTTATGAATGACATGAGCTAAGCTGTAACATTAGCTAACGTTAGGTGTTTATGATGTAGGTTAACTGGCTGACATTGAAAATTAGCTTTTTTCTTAAACATTATAGCAACTATCTTGTTTATCATACCACCAGCACAACAGTAACGGGCCATGGCCCTGCTGTATTCAAAATAACTGCTAAGTTAACACAGTATATTTCTTATAATAAATAGTTGTATTCGTGGCTTGTTATGTTGTCTTTAGCAGACAATTTAAAAACAGTCGGTGAACTACACATTGCATTTCTGTCTATTTCCATTGCGTTGTCTTGTTGGTCCCTCTAGTATAAGTACAGTATAGAATGTACTCTGAGATTTACAGATAGGGGCGGGGGAAACACACTAAACTTTAAGGCTTATTTATGCTTTTCTTTATCAGTAGAGAGTTTGAGCCTACCTGTTTTCTGGGCACCCACAGCTAGAAAAAAAAGTAATTGCCAATGCCACAAAACTATAATCATTCAAGAATAACTTCCCTTTGCTATTTCAAGTACATATTCGGTTACAACAGTTCCCAGATGGGGGCACTATCTACCAGCTATAAAGAGAAAAGCTCAGAGAAAACAGGATTTACATCTAAAGCTGTGTTTATTTAACACAAGAGTTTGGGCTAGAACTGTTTAGTCAAATTGCTTTCACAGCATTTTAAAAGCATACTTAAATGTTATCATATAGTTGTTTCCTATTGCAAATAGATTACTTCTTTTAAATGAATTAGCTTTGTTGGTTTGACTGGGTTTTGTCCCTGTATGTCAGCATCCTGCTGAGGCTCTTGGTGCAGTCCAGCAGGGTGCTGAGGTGTGACAGTTAAAGCTGGCAGGAAGCTGCTGCAGCTATGATGTCATCTACTAACAAGGGGTGGTTGGGGTGGAGGAGTACTACTGAGGGAAGGGGAGGAAAAGATTATGGAGGTAAACAGGGGTTTAAGAGATGCTGGCACAAGGCAGTTAATGCGTGAAATTATTTCACCTAATGCACTACACTGGAGAGTTATCTAGATATGCGCACTACACTGGAGAGTTATCTAGATATGCATTGTTACATGTGCCTTTTGCAGAATAATTTTCTTCCATCCTCCCTAGAAATGGCGCTGTCACTTTTGCTGCCACAGCCCTGTTTTCTTTTATTGCTCTAAGTATACTTTACGTGCTCAGACAGTGGCTGTAGAATTTCCCTGACTGTGGGAAAAACATTTCTGAATGCTCCTAAACTTTCCTGCCATTTGTTTCAAAGGCCACAACTAGCATCAACTTACTTGCTTTTAATTTGTTTCCACAACTTTTGCTCTGTGTGTGAAAATGAAACTGGGTTTTTGTTCCTAATTAAATGAGCCTACTTGTGGTTAAAGCCATTCATAAATATTACCCAAGTTTTTTTTAATTTATCATGCAAAAACAAAGCTACCACTTTATAATTAAACACAGATTTAGATTTGTGCAAAATTGTTCAAACAGGACTTTGTGAGTTTTAGAAAAGCTTAATCATGATTAATGGATAGAGGCCCTTATGAATTAACAACAAATGATATTATTGTTGTATTTTTGTAGCAAAACCAGCACACCTGCTAACATGCTCTTCTATTTTCCATCCTCATCATCCCACTCCATACACTTTATATTTTGCTAGATTAAACAATTAAATTGGTATTAAATTTGATTGGGGGGTTGAGACAATTGCAGGACTGTGACCAAAATAAAGTGATATTTAGGCTTTGATTGCTGTACTGTGTGGTGATTGGTCAGCTGAACTTATTTCAGAATTTTCACACAACCTCATCACCAGCCGCTCCAGTTCACCTGCGCCATGATTCTCTTGCCACGTTATTGGTTGCAGCCCATGTTAACATCTATAGAGTCAAACATGTTTTATATGCTTACCTCTACTGGTGATGAACTTTCAACTCTGTTCTTGCACGTTGCCAGCTTCTCTCACTGATGCAGCTGCTGTTAAATGAACCTAACGCACCTGCATTTACAGTGACTTCACTGGTATTTGCTCTCAGCCTTATATTTGACAGCAGGATTAATCTTGATTGGAGTGTACTGCCAACTAACTATCTGCTCCCTCTGGTATACATGTCAAACTGTATACTCCTCTGCCTGCATTGCCATGAAGCATTAGTGATTCTGTTTAAAGCAGCTCACCTCTGAGGAGTAGGTGAACACATGAAATTTTATATTAAAAAGTGCACCAGCATTAAAATTTAAAATATTTGATTTTGAACTTTTAAATTCTTTTGAACATTAGCGCATTGCATGTATAGCATCGGCTTTGTGGGTTACCTTATCGGTTTCATTAATCAGAAACTTCTGATATATATCAATGAGCCTGTAGTTTCTGTCTACAGTAAGTGGCAGAAAGTGTTTGAGTGCTACCAACATGTGCTTGTTGTTATTAATTTTTTCACCTTATCTTTATTGCAGGAATTGGGGAGTGAAGATGAACGGCGTACAAATCAGAGGTAAGTTTATTTTAAGTGTACTTTATCAAGTCAGGCTTTTTACACAGGTGTTGTTATTGCTGCATGTATCAGTGAGTCATTTAGTAAAACCTGCAGATTAGCTGCCATCAACAAATGAGAACAACCGAGTTTCAGTGTGATAAAACATCTGTTTGTATTGATGGGAGAGTCATCCGTTCCTACTAACCAACAGTAAAAAGCATGTTATTCTCAGTATTTTCTCAAGTAACATGTTGACGGGCATGTCAGTATTTTTATCAGCGCTTAGACTGATGAACTTGTTCTTCAGCTGTGCATCATCAATTGAGTCACCTCTCCACAGGGGGCATGTCGTGCATTGGATCAGTAGAAAGCTGATCATAATTTAAAAAGTGAACATTTTCCAGGTTTTCTCAACCAGTTCTCCACATTTCTGTTATTATACATATTAAATACCTTGCCTCCTGACAAAACATGCAGTTTTGCACTGTGCAGAGTATTTTTGTTGACAACATAAAGTAGAGTAACACACAATAAACAACACACAAGTAAGTAAGAGTAACACACAATAAACCTTTTTCATCCTGCAAGTTCTGGCAAGCAGCCATTGTTTGACTTGTTAATGAGCGTAGGCATAAACATTTTTTTAATACAACAATAAATCGATTAAGTCACAATATTTTTAAAATTTTCTGTAAGACATGTTAGTATGTGTCAGTGTAGGACAGATCTTGATGTTACAATTGCAACTGAGTCTGGAATGTGTTGGTTTGTGTTCTCGATAGTGTGACAGGACCTAGAGTACATTTTAAGGATGGAGTAAATGAAAACACTTGGCTACAGTAACTGGTGTTTTGTGTGTTTGATTCTGAAAATAGTTGCAAGCCTTGTTATCTTTGGATAAGAAATTAGTACTTTACAAATAGTGACAGAGTGACTCAGTCATGTTAAAACCTGATAAAATCAGTTTTCTGCCAAAGGTTCTGATAACCCCCCGATACACAATGACTGTGCAATAACTATGGTATGGAAAAGCTTTATTTTGCGGGGAATGGGACAATATATCGAGATCCAATATGGTACAATACACAAATGTCACAATATGTATCATTCTGTCTAGCGATATACATATATCACGTGGTCTCCATACACCAGAATCTTCATATTTTTTGTAAACGATAGCTTAATGGAATGGTTGTTCTTTACATAATCAAACTGATGCCAAACAAGGGGGAAAAAGAAGAATAAAGTACGTTGTTCTTTACATAATCAAACTGATGCTAGAAAAGGGGGAAAAAGAAGAATAAAAATGTATTCGTAGCTAGTCATACATTGTTCTCCTAGAATTTTTAATTGTACTATGATTAAATCGAATCATACACACCATATCATGCATCAAATTTTCCCATCCCTATTATTCTGCATCTGTTCTAGATGTGTATGTCTGTTAATACTTTACGTTCTGTTCTTAAATATTTGGATTTGGAAACATACATTCCTACATTTGAGCTGAACAGAACGCTAATTATCCGAAGACACGCAAATGCATCTTTCAACAAGTCCATATTATTTTCATGTATGCAGCGGCCTACGCGTTGTCCCTAAGCAATGCACTTGCGTGGGAATGATTCATCCTTGATGCAAGTCTTGTCTTGCTTCATTGCTTCCATTTTTTGAGGGGTTGGTAAACCACTTTATGCAATTAAATTGCCAATAAAGACGTGTTTCATATCAGGGCATGTTAAGTAGCATTTAGTTTGACAGGTGCGTTTCAATTTCAGTGTGCTGATCTAGTTCACCTGATAGCCACATCTGTTGACATCCAGCTATACTGCTGCCAAGTGGGAGCATAGCACATGCTGTTCTCAGATGACCTTGATAACATTTGACAAGCCTAAAAGGTTGACGGAGTCCACTGTAAACGTTGCACAGGTGTTGATGGCAGTGAACCAGGGAATGATTTCATCTTTCCACCTTGTATGCAGCAGAGTTGGGCAAGAAGCAGAATTTGGCAAAACTGTGTGTGAATGTGTTTGCACATAGTGTTTGGAATGAGGAGGGTGATTTCAGAAGACCAAGGATTGCCAGATTATGAGCTGCACTCAGCAGACAATTTTAAAACAATGTGAAGTCCATGTCAACTCACCATAACACTGTCTTACTCAAGACTGGTGGTGATTTCAGCTACATAATTCAAAATACGCCTTCTTGATTTGAACTCAGACTAGGTGTGGATGGAATAAACATAGAGAAACTGCAACAGAAGCACCAGCTCTGGATATTTATTGTGGGTCAGTCTTTCCTTGGTAACATGATGATGTAATTTGTCTCCTGCTCAGGCCCTCCATGTCTCACCTAACACCTGAGGACATCTGTTCCTCCCTGTACTTCTCCCCGCCTCCCTTTCTGTCCCCTTTCACTGGTGTATGTGAGAAAATGCCAGCATTAGGCAACTGGCAGCCGCAAGAGGAGGCTTTTTTTTCCTCATTGTGTCAGTGTATACAAAACACTCTGAAACCATGAATAAACCAGCCTGGTTACTGCCTCTGTTTAGCCTCTTTGTTGTGAGTGCTCAGTGTAATCCAGTGCACCTTTCTCACACACTAGTACACCTGGCAGTTCAGCGGCTTGGAGGACATCTGGTCCTCTCTGCCTCACTCCAGCTCCATCTGGCTACTGTTGTAGCAACAGACTAGACCTTAACTCTGTGACATGCCATCATTCCTGCCTGCTGCCTCTAAAGCTTGACTTCATATGCAGAGGAAGTTCCTGTACCCAGCCAACTTTCCACTTGAAATATCTGCATTAGCTTGTAGGGGCAGCTGTGGCTCGGGGTAGAGCAGGTCGATCTCTGATCACAGGGTTGGCAGTTCAATTCCGACTTTTCCCGGTCCACAATCTGCTCCTGGTGACCAGGCCAGTGCCTTGCTTTCCAGCGCCACTGACATCAGTGTGTGTGTGTGTGTGTGTTTGTGTGTGTGTGTGTGTGTTTTGTCCAGGTAAGGTAGAAAAGCGCTATACAAGTGCAGTCCATTTACTGTTTGTAGAGTATTGTATCCACCAGTGACCAGGTGGTAAAAACATAAAACATTGTCCTCTTGTCCAGAAGAGTAGCAGGGCTATCTTGTTATCTGTGCCAGAGAGCGATTGTTAATGTCTGTCAGCAAATCCTTCCAGACTAGCAGAGTTGTGCCTCTTCAGTGCGTTATGTGTGGGGGTTTGAATGTGAAGTGAGAATGTTCTGCAGGCTCAATTTCAACAGTTTATTTTTGCTGTAATTTCATGATTATACCCTTTAAGTGCTTTTCATTATCTTTGCATTTTACTATCTTTCTTTGCATATATAAAGTCACTTATATTGCAGATGCATTAGAGATTAAGGGTATTTTGTATCTTCCATTGTACTGCTTAATAACCCAACACATTCTAGTTTGTTTGTTTGTAAAAGTGAGTGAGTGACAGCCACTTAAAAGAGAGAGAGAGACTTGATAATCCCCTCCCTTAGAAGCCTGGGTATAGTGAGACTTTGGGAGATCGCCTCACACTGCCCTTTCCACCCATGCTTGGCCCATGCATTAAGCACCCTGGAGGCACTACCTAGGATTCTGTTGACCCCTAAGGTGGCATGCACATCAAAACATCCCAATTGGGCCAAGATTCCTGTGTCTGCTCTTTTGTCTTCCTCCGTCTGAGCAAGCTGACTTGCTTTTCCCTAAAAGACTGAGAGCGAGAGAAAGTGGTACTCTCAGTGGGTGTGAAAGAGAGATGGTTTCTGTCTGAGAAATGGACATGTTCCTTCGTTGTTTGTACTGAGTCAGACCGCAGAGATGAGGAAAGTAATATATGAATGAAAGAAGGCGGAATCCATCTCTTGAAATCTTGTATTTGAACAGCCAAAGAAAACATGTAAGTGACTTTGTGTCACTTAAGGAAAGTGAACACGTGGTTACCATGAAAAAAGTGGAGTTTACTCTTGCTTTCTTTCTTACAGATGTGGATGTGTAACCTACAGTAAAATTTATGATGGTATAACAAGCAAGCAAGCAAAATGTTATGTAGCACTTTTCACAACACCAAGTTACAAAGTGCTTCACGATAATGTTAAAATCAAAAATCATTAAAATCTTTAAACTACTTACACAGGTATGCCAACACCAACCTCGTTGTGACTGGCTTTAATCTTAAGATCTAAAGAGCTCTAAAATTGCTTAGATCTGGAGAGGATCTAACATCCATAGGAATGCTGTTCCAGAGATTAGGTCCCACTACTGCAAACGCCTTATCTCCACAGGATTTCAGTCTGGATCTGGAAATGTTGAGAAGCAGCTGATTAGTGGATTTTAGGATTGTATGAGCTCAGAGATATATGATGGCGCTGGACCATGCAGTGTCTTAAAAATGACACTGTAGTGGACAGGAAGCCAATGGAGTGCAGCCAAAACAGGCGTTCTATGCTCACATTTTCACGTATTTTCTATGAGGCAAGCAGCTGCATACTAAACAGATTGGAGATGGGCAAGGGATTTACATAACATCCCAGCATATAAGGCATTTTAGAAATCAAGGCAAGAACTTATAAAAATGTGATTTGCCTTTTCAAAATTCCCACGAGAAAGAAAATGTATTAATCTCAGTTGGAAAAAGCCCATCTTGACTGTGCAGTTCACTTGTTTGTCGAGTTTTAAAACACAGTTGAACACCACACCGAAGTTCCTGACATAAGACTTTAAATATGGAGTCATTTGACCCAGGTCTATTCCTTTGCTACCTGGAGAATTACCAGTCAGTACACATTCAGTTTTTTCATAGTTAATAGGCAGGAAATTAAGTGACAAATTAGGTTTCTTTAAAACAGGTTAAACTATTGTGTGCTTAAACTTGAGAGGGACATGCCCAGAGATCAAAAGGCCATTTATAATAAAGTGCACAACTGGGTCAATGTCATTGAAACCACCTCAGAAATAAGGTTTAATGAAGCTGGTTCAAAATGACTAAAAACAACAGGACAAGCTGTTGCAACAGTAGGGTCAAAGCCACTTGAGACATCATTTGAGACACCTTATTTGCAAAAATGTCCAGGAAACTTTCTCATGTTGCAGAGAATAAACAGCACAGAAGAAACATACAAGGAAGAGGAGCACTGAATGTGTGTGCCTGTGGCAGTGGGTGGAGGCTGCAGCACGTCCCTCCAGGCACAGAGACGCTCAGATGACAGAGAAGAAGGAGGCAACAGAGGGAGTGGTGTATGAGCAGACGGCATGTTTGTGCTGAGCAGCACAGATGAGTGCAGTGTCAGTCACTCAAAAGCAATGAGCCAAGACTGGAAATAATCACTCTTTTTTTCTTTTGCAATTTGCTGTTTCTGGAAGCTGATGAAGAGGAGGTAGCTCGTATTGGAGAGGCCTGGGTTTTGTATCGGTCAACAGGATGCATCTCATTGTAGAACACATTCAGGGGGCTGTGATGAAGATAATACCCTATTTTGTGGAGAACGCTGTGTTGACCCAGAGTGAGATAAACCGCATGTGAGTGTAGTTTATCTTTAAAAAGATGGGGTTTGACCCAGTGGGAATCAGGTCCTTTACTGATGAGAGCTGAGATCAGTCACGTGACTGGGGTTTAGCCAACTGAGCTCAGAAGTTGTCTTTGAAAACAATGTAATTCATTTGCAGCTGTATTTTTTGTAACATTTAATTGATTGGTTTGAATGCTGGCTCTATCATTTTGCAACAGATACTGGGATGTCATTTCAGGCCAGCAGATCAATCACTGGCCTTTGACAGCTGACATGAGATAATGGATCAAAATAGATTATCATTCACTGACAGCTGAGAATCTGTGATGTGCACAAATCACTGTATCAGCCACTGCTCAACTGTATGGTCTAATGTGCTGGTTTTCTTTGTGCCTTTCTGTAAGGTAGGTGGGTTGGAATCATTGAAGGTTTGATACTGCATGTATTTTTAGCCCCAGTGTTTGTGGAGAAGCTGATAGCAGGGTGCTGTGGGCAAGAGACAGCAGAGCTGAGGCTGTTTAATTGTCTGAGCATGGCCTGTGAAACAGTGGGGCAGCTCTTGATTTACACATGAAGACATGTTTCACACATCCTCAGCTTTTACCGAAGTCTGGGAAGTTTCAGGCATCACTTGTAAACCAATACCTGTGGACTTAAAGTTGGGATGCTCATTGAAATAGGTAAAATGAGCAGCAGGGATTTGTACACGGGACTGGAGAGGCTGTAGTCCTCTTCTTTCTCTTGTTATTGCCACTTTTGCCTCATATTATCCTTCATTCCCTGACAGCCCCATGAGAACAGACTGAACAAAAATTCACCAAAGGGAGACAAAAGCTTTGATTGAGAAGTGTCCACCCCCATGCTTTGTCACTGGAACCATTTTTTTCTATGGTGTGGGGGCGGAGGGAATTTATTGTGAGGTGCACAAAACAAAGTCCATTGTTCACACAAAATCATCTGTTTGGCCCAGGCCTACACTTCTGTATGTGGCCTTTGTACATTTGATCAGAGAGAGCTGGTTGAGGGAGCAGTTTCAGCAGTGGACAGAAAAATGTGATGGTGAAAGTTGTAGTCAGTGATGTCATTTTACTGAAGGACTTCTGTTATTTCCTGTTTTAAAACAAAGGCATTTGGGCACCAGTTTGTGTATTTTTGGAGTACTCGATGATGTATTCATTACATTTTTGCATGATATGAACCAATATAGGTTATTGTTATTTTAACTACTAACAATTGTCAGTGTTTCCTTGTACTGGACAACACTGATTTTTAGTGTTACTGTTGAATAACCTGCAGATGTGAAACTGTTTAGTTTTTTTTTATGTCTGTCTTTAGGTATCGTAAGTAAAATAATATGGTACTGATGCCAGTATTGCTCTTTTTAGCTGACATTAGCTAGTAAGACACTCTACTAGTACACTGACGTATATATTTAGAAACAGGTTTAATAACTATTTGGATTTGTTTTGTTGTTGTCACTCACCAGTCGTGCTCTTTCCTAATACATGGTGCATGTGTTCCACCCTGCTGCTAGGTAGATTCTTTGTTTTCCAAGGAAATGTAATGATTGAGTTCAGCCAGGAGGAAACACCTCACTCTTTTTAATTGGAGTTCCTTCCTTACTTTCATCTGTTGACAGCCCCAAAGCTGAACATGAGAAGGTCAGGACTTTTACAGTTACTTTGGTCTATGTTGTATTAAGCAAGACCTGACAAGTCAAGCCTGAGTGTAGCCCATGCAACGGAAAAAAAAATAGAGATAAGCAGCCAAGATGAAAGCTGATTCATGGCTGCAGACCGGAGGTCTTGCCTCTGTAACCTGGCAGCTGGGCTTTTCCACTCAACTGCTGAGGCAATTCACCAGCAACAGACAACTCTGTTTTATGCTCATCTTGTTCACTGTCTACTGAACTGAACTATCCTTTAAAACTGAAGAGTTCATGTCTTGTATCCCAATTCTCAGCCTTTGTGTCCATCAAACAAGTGTGAATGATTGTGTGGAGCTGCCACTCTGCAGCGTAGTGTCTGATGTATAGCACCTGTGTTTCAATATTTATAATCCCCCCCCTCTCCCATTTGTTTTGCAGCCTGAGTGAGAGCTTCTTCATGGTGAAGGGTGCTGCTCTCTTTCTGCAGCAGGGGAGCAGTCACCAGGGCCAGAAAGTACATCCTCACCACAAACATGCAGGTGACAACCATACGACTCCTAAAATCACACATCCTGTTACCCCCATAATTTGCCTAAACTGTAGTTTTGAGCTCATTAGTCTCTGTCAGATTTATGTAGTGCATTTATGTGATCATTTCCTGTGCTACAGATGTTTGTAGCTGAGGTGAGGAGGATGGAGGCTGCCTTCTTGATAAGCATTTTTCAGACACATAACCATGACCGCGGATACATTAGACTATTTTTTTCGGAGGTTTTTTTTTTTTTTTAAACTGACTCGCCCCTTTATTGGAAGTAAGCTGATGATTGGACGCTTCAGATGAAGGATCTAAAGACGTCTCATGTCATTTATAACGTGTTTCCTCGAGTCCTCTCTCCTCGCGCTTTCCTCACATCTTATGTGGGTGAGACTAAGACACAAGGCAAAGATGCAAGTGAGGGGAACGAAAGTGCTTATACAAGGCGAGATGTACCCTATTATTTTTACAATTTACAGTGGCGCCACAGAGTTACATTGACTTGGCTGCTATCTTCTAAAGTAAGAAGTTAAAATCAAAAGCGATAAATATACCATGTTTTCTCTCTCTCTCTCTCTCTCTCTCTCTCTCTCTCTCTCTCTCTCTCTCTCACAAATAATGGGTCATTTTAATAATTAGGTACCTAACTAGCTAGCTAAATTAGCTGAGCTGTCTACAACAACAGAACACAGATGTACAGTAGTTTGCAAGGCTGTTCAAGTCATTTAAAGCAGTAATTTGCTGATAAATCCCACTGTTCCCTATAGAAAACAATGGATCTGAATCAGCAATTTGGAAATATTTGAAGCTACGTGAGTCACGTGACCCACTGTCATTTTTGACCCCTCTGTTTTAGCAGCTCTGGACTCAACAGTGAACTGGCCAGTGTCAAAAGCTGTTTTTAAAATGTCAGTGTTGAAAGTTACAATTAAATGGCCAAACTGACAGTCCTCTGGCATGATGGGGCTTCAGCACCAGCCAACCACCAAAATGCCAATTCATTTGGCAAGTCACGGCTGTGGCTGGCAGCTTTGTCTGCTCTTCCAACAACTCTGTCAGGTATCCCACAAGTTTGCTGCTCATGCTTTGTTCTCGGAAACATTTGGCTGGGGAAATACCTGTCTCATTGCCCAGTAACTGTGGCTTTTAGGGAAAAAAGAAAAGTGTTGTGACTTATGCAAAGTGCTTGATTAAGATACGTCTGCTCCAAGAACTGGTGCTGTAGCATGAGCGATTTTAAGAGAAGCACTGTTTCTCACAGAATTCAGATAAATTCAGGTCTTTTCACTTAGTTGTCAAAAAACAAAAGTGAAAAAGAATAGTACACCACCAAGCCACCACAAAGCCATAGTGAAGTGTATAGACTAGACTAGCTCTTTCATTATGGAGGAATCAGTGAATACTAACTAACGCATGCTAAACTTTTCTCGGACATAAAATCCAGTGGTGTAAGTTAAGGATAACAGTTGACCTGGATTGAAATACACAATTTTTATAGCATACACAAAGTTTTGCTGGAACAGTGATTATCAGGCTATAAATTATGACATTTTGAAAAACAGTATGAGCTGTCCAGAAGCCTTCTCTTCTCGTTAAAGCTTATTTTTGTTTCTTTGTTATTCAAGGAGCCAGTCATTTAATGGTTTGTCACTTTACTGCGAGATCATTTTAGCTGGTAAGATCATCTTAGAATAACATTTTTGAAGAAGCAGGGGTTTGTGTCTACTAAACTTCCAAAGCATGTATTTGTAAGCGTCTATCTAAATTTTGTTTAATGCTTTGTAAGTTTGACATAAAATATGCATAGCCTTTCAACCTGGTCTAGAGTAGAGACAGTGGTTAGTGGCATGTTGATTTGATTTGATTTGATTTATTCTTTCAAACATGCAGAACAAATGACATCAACACACACACATGATTACACACAGCCAACCACTGCTAATCCAGAATCAGTTTGCTTATACCCAGCACATGTTTGAATGGAGTAGGAAGAAGTTAGACTTATCCAGTCCTACCCCAGAACATCATCTTATACAAAAAATTTCATGCATCATTGGCTGCAAGCAGTATCTAAACATAGTAAAATTCTCCTCTTTATCAACAAGTAATACACAGAAAACTTAAAATAGATGGTTTCCTTCATGCAATCTTGATTAAATCTCTAATTCTTGCGTATATCTTGAATGACACATGCATTTATATTTGTATTTAAACTCCTCAGTTCTAGTACTGTTTTTCATGTCCACACTTGATTTATTCCATAATTTGACCCCACTTATAGAAATACAAAATCTTTTTTTGGTTGTACGTATAGCATGAACTTTTAGATTTAACTGACCCCTTAAATTGTATCCCCCTTCCCTTTCATTAAATAACTTTTGGATTCCACCAGGTAAT